ACGGTACGACTTCAGTGAGGTTCATTTCGAGATTTACCTCTGAGGGTCTAAACAACGGCTAGCGAGGAGCGAAGTCTGACTAATAGCCCTGAAAGTATTGATATTTGCTTGGATAAGGTGGTCTGATTTATATTTCGCTTACTTAACCACAGTCGCTGATGCTCTCGTCAATTTTCCCCGGAGTCTCGTACAGTTTCAGTCACCAATGGCTCTACTAAATTTCCGTAGATTTGTCGATAGAGAAACTTCGCATACCATTTCTCACGTCTTTTTCTAATGTGTACCCCTTCTAAAATTTCAGTACGAGTCGTACAACTTCGAGCAAACAGTCACAAAGAAGGTTTTATGAAACCTCTCATTCCTGAACCAGGTCTGACGCCAGCATTTTTGGAGCAGTAAAAATGCATTAATATATAAATATGAAAATCAGCAACTGTAGTACAATTATGCGAAGCAAAGAGGTTCAAAATGTGGTGGTTCTCGCAGCTGGAAGTTTATTATAATTATTATTATCATTGTCATCATCGTAATTAGCATCGTCGTAATGTAATTCTATGTTCAGTCGCTGAACGGCATTATGCAATCGTGCTCGATTCATTTCCGAATGCAGTCGCTTCATCTTTCCGATCCCCGGGGTTTGTAGATAAGGTATTCTTCCTGAAAATAAATTTATATGAGAAGATCTGTTAGCTATAGAATCTCGTTGCTTCGTTAGCCTATCATTTCCGTTTTATGATAGGCATTCACGGCAGCTTTAGCAACAAGAGGATTGCTCTCTTTTGTACCTCACGTTTTGTCCCCTTCTCTCTCCCCATTACACTATCCTGTACGCTGATTGATATTTTCTAATCCTGCTCTTTACTGTGTATGCAAAATATCCGATTGAATGAGAGCGTTTTGATAAGAGTTACCATAAGTTGTCTGAATATAAAATGAATTTTGTACTTAATACTGAAATACTGCTCATTCTAAAATGGAGAAGTGGTATTATTGAGTGCTCAAAAGGGTTGCCTGATTCCGTGATTGAAACATTGTACCTCTGCTGATGCAAATGTTATGAAAATGGAAAATTTGGGTGACTGCGCGATGGAGGGCAATACTCAAGCGATAAAAATAAGGTCTCCCCTACTGTAAATGCAATTTTCCTCTCAGAATGATGATAGCATGAATGTAAAGCGTTTGTCAACATTATTTCGAATAACGTTCCAAGTCTATAATATCGCAGCGACCGAAAATATAGTTCTTCCTTTACAGTCTATGCTATGTTTCATAAAGTATTGTCTGAATCATCCTTCAATATTCCCATTTGTCGTCATCATGTGATCAGTGGTGAACAGCGTGATGAAAGAAATTCAACAATCGTATATGAGGAATAGTACTGACCGTGACCTCCCGATCCTTCTGTCCGTGGTTATAGTCAGAGTTTATTTTTCCCGAACAGAAATTCCTTAAAGACAGCCAAAAACTAGCCTCAATTTGAAGGTTTGATTAGCTAACCGTTTCTAGATTCACAACAGGCTTTCTCGACTATCGTATCAACTCAGGATTAAAAATTGGGCTGTACTTGGTCTAACACGTAATTGTACACTTTCGCTTTGGTCCGTTTTCCCTGACTATGACGTATGGATTGAATTATTATTCCCAGACGTATCCTGAAGCATTTGCAATATATCTAATTCAAAACGTGTCGCATCTTTTTGCATCATTTCCTTCGTAGTTTCCTTCTGTTGAAGTGAAATTCAGGAAATGGTGCAGAAGCCTGGTGCGGTAAGTTGAGACGGTGATTGCTCACCGCTTGTCGATGATGCCATCCGTCCTTCAATGAAACCTCTCATAAAGCTTCATTTATCTGAATTCACTGGGTTGAAAGAACGAAGGTTAGGCAGACATTAGCAATAGCTCACAAGGGTTGTCACGATGAAGGAACTGCCAAATAACCTACTAATCAAAATGGAGGACAGTCGACTTGTTTTCGTGGCTCTCAAAATGAGGGCAAGTCGGATAAATGCTCTCGTGGCTCTGCTCCGTATCTCATCTCTGTAGGAAGTGGTTCCATTGTAAACACTGCCTTATTCCATATAATGCTCTTACTAACTTTATTCCGCTTCTGTATTCCTCGTCTGCTGCCCCTGCGTATTAAGCCTGATTCTAAAATTTTTGCGCTCATTTCTTACAGCATATTGTAGTTAATTAATGTCTAACTGCTCCCGGCTTGTGTAAAGTGATTTCCTTTTGTATACTTCTGTTCTTGACCTCTAAACTCCATAAAACCCATTATCATTTTGTGGGGATCGTAAATAGTGAACCAATCGAAGTAAAAGCAATATGTTTAACACCGCAAATCGAGTCGTGAAAAGCCTGGAAAAAAGCCATTACAGTATTCGATATTTTCAGCATGCACCAAGCGTTGGAAGACAATTTTTTCAGCGTCATATTCTTTGCGATGCTCCGCCCAGTCTGGGCGGCGACGATGTACTGGCGTCAGTCAATTGAGGGAATTCGCACACTGCTAACTTGATTTCGTCGAGGCTCCCGATGATCACCCTATTTCGTATTACCACTCTCAGCCATTCCAGCCAAAGCATTGCTTTCAGTTTTCTGTTTCCGGCCTTCACGAAACAAGGCGTGACGTCTGAAGTGTCGAAGCCGTTTTCGTACGTAGGCCTCAAGTGGCTGCTGAGCATACAGAAGAGCAAGAACATCCTCTGTCCGCATCTGATCCTCCCTGACCTCAAGGATGGCATTACGGTAGTCGTCGACTGCACATTCACGTTGATGAACACTGAATCGTTCACGAGAAATGAACTCTTCCACGCAAAAGGCTGCGAGTTCAACTCTGCGAACTCGTCGCATGGCAGCGACATTTTCATTCACGTCGAGGACATCGCGGAGAGAAAATTTCTCAGCTACGAAAACATCTGCGTCCTGGAACTGACTCTTAAAAATCCAAAAATCCTCTTTCACAGCGTTCTGATCTTGGAGCACAAGCCGCAGGCCCTGGCTGCCAGAGGAAGACGAGACAAGATGCTGGATTTCCGCTGTTACAACACTGAAAAATTTCACTATGGCGATTTCGACTGGTAAGAGCGCATCCTTTATGTACAAAGAGCAATTATTATAATAATTTTGATGTCCTCTTTTGACTACTCGTTGCCAATCATGTTGGATCCGTTGCCGCCACCGGCAGGATTCACAGCTGAAGAACCTTTGCACACATCAGTTATCAAACATCATCATCATCATCATCATCATCATCATCTTCCATCGCCGCTTCTCCTTTCGGGTCGCGGAGGCAGAC